TCACGTCAATACAATTTTATATTAATTCTCATAAATTTTATTTTCAAATTCACTCCTCACAACATTGTGGGTGAGAGAGGTTTTCAACCAAAACACATATCCTATAATATTAATGAAAAACAAACGCAACTAAGATCAATGGGGATGAAGGTGTTTTCACCCAACAACAATGGAGGCTATGCAAACCACGATGCTGATTCCACCCAACTCCAGGGTCAAGGCAAAGCGAATTGGTGTTTCTCCATTCGCTACCAACAACTTGGTTTTTTCCCTTCCATTGTATGCTTTCTCTCTTAAATTTTGGTGAATTTGTGTTTCGCCATTCGCTTCCAACAACTTGTTTTTTCCCTTCCATTGTGTGCTTTCTTTCTTAAATTTTAGTTTATATTAGATGTTTTATATTTATATAATTTTATGTTTATGAGATGAAGAAAAGGAAAAAGAGAAGAAAGAAAGAAGAAAAAGAAAAAAAAGAAGTACGAGGAAAAAGAGAAGAAGAAAAATAATAAAAGACGAAGAAGAAGAAAAATAATAAATTTAGTGCATATCTAAATGAAAGTAAAAAAAAATTATATATGTTGTTTTTGCAACAAACTAAAAATTATGTCGGTTATAAATGCAACGTACATAAATTTATGTCTCCTACAAGTGTTTTTTTATGTTAATGAATAAGATAAACATCCTATTCACTCATGGTATGACGTTTATTATGGTAGAACAATGCAGAGAGAAGCAATGCATTTTAATGTTGCTTGTTGTATCAAAACTATAAGTCATTGAAGAAAGATTTCAAAATGTTTATTATATATATACCTATATATATATATGAAGATTTAAAGTCAATAATAAAAAAGAAACCACATGTTTCTCTGTACACTCCGTCACTTTCTTTTTATCATACCATTAAACAAAATTTTTGAAAAACTTGAATTCGTTCAAATTAAGCTTTAAGATAAACCGGGTTGCCTAGTCAGATTATGCCATGCTAGCAATATAAATTTTTAAACTGTTTTATGACTTTTTACAATTTACTTTGAAAAGCTATTATATATATATATATATATATATATATATATATATATATATATATTTTAATTGGTTTAAATACCTTTATGGTTTTGATATCCAGTTCATTGGTTCATAATTTTAGAAAAATGTTCATTTTGGTATTTTAATGTGTAATTTTATGCTTAATTTGATTATTTTGGTCTCTCAATGTGAGGTACCAAAAATCCTTCAAGCAAAACACCACAATTTCTCCAAGTGAGACACCAGGCTACTTCAACAAGTAAATTGAGTTACTTCACCAAGTAACTTTCATAAAAAAGACCTCTAAACGAGGTACCACATTACTTTACCAAGAAAATCAAACTACTTCACCAAGTAATCAACTAAAATCCCTCTGTGCAATATAGGACATTAAGTCATTTAAACAAAATAGAATAAGAAACATTGAGCTATTCGAGTAAAAGGGGACAATTCAAAGCATTCAAATCGAGTATGAAATAAACTCGACATCTCACTACCCGAGTACAATAGAAGCTCGATGCTCCAGTGGTTGAATAAAAGAACTACTCAAACACCCAAATGCCCAAACATAATAAATAATTTAGCATTTCTAGTGATCGAGTACATCAACAACTCAGTGTTCCAGTATATGGTTAACTCAAGTAGAGAGTACATGAGTAGATAACAGTTTAGCATGTGACAATACCTGAGTACAAAAGTTGTCCACTACCCCAAGTCTGAACTAGAACTAAAGAAGGTGGCCCGCCTATTTGCCTTCTCAAAACTCTCAGCATAGGCCACCAACACGCCAGTCATAAAGTTGGTACTCTTCTTATCCAGACCAACAACATCAGCCTCAAAATTAGCAAACCTGTTTATTCAAGCAGATCTTCGGAACTCATCTCGCCCATCTCAAACTTTGTTGTGAAGGTTGCCTTCTTATCTCTTGGTTGCTGGAAGTTCAAAGGTCAACTGAACAACACAGTTGCAACTTTGTACGAACTACAAGTCTCTGTTTATTAGCTCTCGACCGACCTTAGTACACAAGTTGTCCAGGATGTCACTTTCGCCCTTCACCTGGCTGCCTTCACTTCCTTTGACATTAGGTGAATTAAAAAGAAAAGACAAGAAACACTAGTATAAGTGTGGAAAGGACTTAAAGAGCAACGAGGATTGCTTGAAGTGAAGTGACGATAAAGAAATCCAATTCAGAATGAAATTAAAATCATTATCAACTCGGCAAGACCTATACAAACTGGCAGCACCCAACAAAGTTGGCTGCATCAAAAGCGTAGCCCGCCTAATGTTAGCCACATAAAACTAAGCCCACCTAAAGTTGGTCGCATTAAAGTGGAGCTCGCCTAAAGTTGGCAACACTAAGCAAAGTCTTCCTAAAGTCGGCAACATTTATTAGAGTTTGCCCAAGCTGGTAGCCAAGCATAATCCTTCCTAAATTTTACTACACAAGTCGGAAGGACTATTCTTGCACAACAATTTTCAAATAAGCTTAGTTGAATGACCAATCTACCTGCAAAGCTTGACCAAAGAGCTAATCCACATATGAGTTGGGTCGAATGGCCAACATCTCAAATATATAATAACAAAATGATAGTTCATCATAAATAATAATCATAATATCAAATTGAAAATATTAGTTATAATATACGAATATTGTCCTAATAAACGTAAGTTCAAATGATTCCAAAATAGAGACCTAATAAACTTTATTAAGTCATTCTAGTATATCTATTTTATATAAACACATATCCTTTATAATACACTATTTTTATACATTTCCATATTATATTTAGAATTATTTTTATACTTTTCAACTTTGCTAAACTATTCTTACAGTTGTCAAAATTTTATTCTATTTTCAAACTTTTTTCATGTGTTTCGAAGCTAATTTGCTTTTTTTTAAAATTATTTAATATATATAAATATAAAGGTTTTCTCGAAGATAGTAAAATAGAAATATACATTGAAAAAACATGAAAATTGCTAAAAGGTAAAAAAAAATATTTATTGCGACACATTTTGAAGCGTCGCCATTGAGTTTTCATATATTGCGACCCATTTTGAAACGTCGCCGTTGAGTTTTCATATATATATATATATATATATATATATAAAGGTTTTCTCGAAGATAAAAAAATAGAAGTATACATTGAAAAAATATGAAAATTGCTAAAAAGTAAGAAAAAAAATATTTATTGCGACACATTTTGAAACGTCGCCATTGAGTTTTCATATATTGCCTTATTACAAACGAGAAAGTTTAGTACTCGAAATGTCATAAGAAGAAATATACATTCTCTTACGTTTTAGTTGATTATTTTATTTTTTAGTTTTAGTTGATTTTTTTTAACAGGTACTTGATGTTTTAAGAAAACTGGGCTATTTTTTTTATGAATTACAATTCTTTTGGAGAGATAATCACGATCATATTTATGAATTACAATTCATTATATAACAGTGAATTATATAGCAAAATCTTACCAACCAAGTAACTATAAATAATATATCGCTTTCATATTTAAAATTTCGTAAATTAAAATTATGGTCGCATTTAACTTTTAATTTGTGAATTTTTCTTTCAATTAATTTTTTAATTTTATTTTTATATCTTTCAAAATTTCTAACATACTGTTATCCCAATGCACACACTAATAACCTTTCTTACTAATCATATTGAATGCTAACACTTATTTCAGATATAGACAATTCACCACAGACTTAATCATATATACAAACTCTCAAGTTTTGTTTAAAGTATAGTTGTGGTTAGGATAACAACAGGGCATGTGTACTCGCAACCTAATTCGACAAAAAAAATATACCCACTATTCGATTCGCTACACGCATGGATACCTGCTTAAAAGATATCCGTCAATATTTTAAAACCCACATATATTGGTCGATACCTGCAATTATTTAAAAATATATATATTTTTATAAATTATTAAAATAAAATTTAAATAAAATTATAAAAAAAATATAAAATATAATATAAATTAAATTAAATATAAATTATAATTTAATTTTAATTAAATTTAACCTTATAAAATATAAATTAATGTTAATTTTAATTAAATTTAATTTAATGAAATATAGATTAACAATTAAATTAAAACTGTAGATTATTTTAAAATGTAAGAAGGAAATTTAAAAAGAAACAAAGTTGTAGATAAATTTTTTAAATAAAATTGTAAGACAGACTATTTTTCTTACGGAAATATTAACACAAAATTTAACGTATTATTACTTTATTTTATTAACTTTTCTCGCTTCTTTTCACGGTTTGAAAAAGTCATTTGGTATATGAGAAGACTTTCTTCCACGAAAGTACCAGAAGAAAAATCAATAAATAAAGCGCGTTGACAAGTCAATACTAAATAAAATAAAAAGTAGTTTATTTATGGGAAGAAAGAGGATCAAAACAATCTTGCAACTTCACTTGGCTGTTCTTCTCTCCTTCCCAAATGACTCCCAAGAAGAGCCTTTTGGACTTCATTTCTGAAGTTAAGCTCATCGTCAAACCACATTCTCGTCACTTCCACATTCTCAATCTCATCTTCCTCTTCCCCCTCTCCCTCTTCCTCCTCCTCTCTCCCACTATCTCTAACCTTTTTCACTTCTTCTTCACCAAAAACTCTCCCAGCCTTCTTCCACCACAAACCATCAACCCCTCATTTCTCCTCTATTCTCTCTTTCTTTTGCTTCTCTCCAACTGTGGAATCATCACCATCATCTATAGCATTTTCCACTTCTCCCATCACGAACCCGTGAATCTCCTATCCGCCATAAAGTCCATTTCCACTTCCTTCCTACCCCTCCTCGCCACCACCATCGTTTCCCAACTCATCTTCTTCTTCATCTCTTTTTTCTACGGTCTTCTCTTGATTCTTCTCATTCACGGGGCCAAGCTTTTCCATCTAACGCTTCTTCCACACTCCTCACCCTTCATCATAGGATTCTTAATTGTTCTTCCTATGATAGTCGTGCAGACGCGTTTGGAAGTTAACTGGATCCTAGCGAGTGTTATTGTGGTGGTGGAATCATGTTGGGGTATGGAGCCCCTCAGAAGAAGTGCGAAATTGATTAAGGGAATGAAAGGAGTGGCCCTATCTTGTATCCTCTCCTATGGATTCGTGGGGTTGATCGTGATGTTGAATTACCTTTCTTTGACGAGGAGACATGATGGATTTACAGAGTGTTGGTTTGATGCGGTGTTGAAATGGATGCTGATTCTGACAGGTTCTTATACCCACGCTTTTGTTATGCTTTTTAAGATTGCTGTTACTACAGTGTTGTACATATACTGCAAGGCAAATAACGTTGAGATAACAGAGGAGGTTGGAAAGGACTATGTTAGCTTGCCCTTCCATGATGATGGGAAAGTCTCGCTGGTTGTTTGAGCTATGTGTGTGCTGTTAAAGTGGAAAATTTTTATTGTGAAATCTCTCTGTAATGGATGCGAGTGGGGATGAGGTTTTCACTTAGGCGTGTAGAAATTTATTTTGTTCATAAAGTTTCACAGGATCAAATTTTATCTTTTTGTATAAAAATTATTTAGGAAAAAATAAATAAACTATTATGGAAAGGGGACTGGATGGGGGAGTGTGTTTGAGTATGATCTCCAAGTAAAACTTGTGCTCGTTGTTGTTTTTACGCTGAATCATATGAAATTCTTGTTCCATAGTTTATCATCTATCACTGAGAGGCTATATTTAAATTTCTGGTCGGATTCATTTTTCTATTATTTTAAATATCAATTAAAATATCTTTTATAAAATATAAAAATTACAACAACAAAAAACTATTATCAAATAATTTAAATATAGAAAATGATAATTTTTTTTCTCCAATATGAAATATAAAAAACTATAATTTTATGAATGTTAAATAAAATCCTTATGTAATATAAAAAATCTATATATAAAAGTATTTTATCTATGAGTTATCTACGGATAAAAATCCATATATAAAATTATTACTAAAAACATTGCCTACAAATTTATATTCATAACTAATATACGAATAAATCTTTATGTAAAATTTATAAATAATTACATACAAATTTATTAAATTTATTTATATATAATAATATATAAATAAATCCATCCATTATGAATAATTTGTTGGCTAAACTTTTTCTTATTTTTCAAATATTTTTTTTGTTTAAGATATCTTCATAATGAAATAAAGGTAAAGATCACATTTATGATTCAAAATTATCACAGTTCATTATCTTCACATTTTAATATTTTTTAATCATATATGATAATAACTCTTAAATTCGTCTAATATATTTTTTTAATATATTACTGACTAATTATTTTTTATTATAGACATCTGATAAAAAAGATTATTAAATGATAAAGATAACGAAAAACAAAATTAATAGATGTTGTTGAGAATATGTTTTTTTTTTCTGAAAAAGAATTAGAATTGAACAATGTTGTTACTTGTGTTGAAAGTTTTAAAACTGTATTTCTAATGTTGATAGCTTACATTATATGATAATATTTTTTGGTTTCAGATTGTTTGATTTTGGTTTAATTTTAAAGCATTTTTTTATGAAGAAATAGTGATTTCTGTCACGCCTCATTAAATACCATGCTTAGTCACCTGTCAGCTTCCATTAATGTACCATGCTACGCAACTTAATGCATTAAAAATTCACTGAGAACGAGCCCTGCATGCACGCCACTTGTCAATTTGGAAACTTCTGAAGTCAGTGGTGGGGTGCAGGTGTCGTCTAGAGGGACGCTCGTCCGTCTGACAGTGGGATTTGAACAAAAGTAACTTTCTGGAAAATCTCCCACTCTCTACGCGCACCTTCTACCTTTCCAAACTCAGACTTTTCCTTTTCTCCTCCATCTCTCTAGAACTCTGATCTTTCTCTCTTCTGCAACTCACCACCCTCTTCTCCGATCACATTTCAGAAAACGCAGAAACCCTCCCTGCACCGAGAGCTCCATATTGAACCGAACAACTTACAGTTCTGGTAAGTTTCACTAGGACGCTCGTTTCTGGAGTTCCTGCAAACTGTATTCAGTTGCATGCAATGGTGTAGACTAAGCCCTTCATTTTCTTTTGGTTAGTTTAGTTGGAGAGCTTAAGAGAAACGTTGAGAGAGCCTCTTATAGACGAATCAAGATCCACTCATTTTAGGGCGATTACTACAAATCCGGGTAAGGGAAGCTTATTAGATTTAATTCATGTGATTGTGTTGTACTGCATGTGCGTTTAAGTGTTGCTTGAATGTATGATTCATGATATTGTATTTTGGTATGCGAATATGATTCTGAAATGATGCGAGTAAATGATGAAATGTGCTATGGTTGGATTAAATTGAAAAATGAGTTGTATGATGAGATGATGTATGAAGAAGTATGAATTTGTGCCATGATATGAGTGATTAAATGCATGAAAGTTTATACTGAAAAATATGGTTACTGTATGTTGAAATTGAATATGAAAATCATATGAAAATGAACGTTCGTTATCGAAACGGTCTTTGACCGTTCGGTAGTCCTAAGTAAATTCTTTGTAGTAGTTGAACCTTTTCATTTGGGAAGGATTCTCTTTGAGGACGAACGCCCTCTTATATTAGCCTTACGTTTGCGCGTTCGGCCAAACGTAAATACCCTGAGTGTTTGTGAGAAATTTGAGAAGCCTGAGAATATATTTAAACACTTAGTCATATTGTTCCAAATGTAACTTCAACATTATAACTTATGAAAAATCTTATTTCAAATGTATTGAATTAGCTATGGGTCTTGACCCAAAGCGTACGTCCTAAGAGCGCTCGTCTTATACCGAACGCTCGTACAAATCGATATGTGGTAAAGAACGCTCGGTCCAACCGAACGTTCGTTCCTTCCGTAATTATCAACGAGCGGTAATAGCGTTCGTCCTGAATTGAAATAGCGTTCGTCC